TATGGGCTTTGTCCTCCCCCAGAAAAAGCGCTGATCTAAATTATTCCCAGTGGTTTTAACGCGCAAGGTGCCGCGGCCAAACAAGCGCCGCTTGCAAGAGATGAATGCGCCTTCCCCTGAGCTCTCTTCCCCTGAGAGTGAAGAGGAAGTGGTGCAGGCGCCTCCCCCAAAACGCCCCCGCCCGCGCCCCCGCCAAGCCAACGCGGTCGCCAGCAGTTCGCGGCACACGCTTGACGGTCCACCGGCGGTGCAGGTGCCCAGCGCTGCGATCGAACAGCAAGAGGTCTTTGGCTCGGGCCAGGCACCCAAGTTGGTGTCACAGTCAACAATCGCTCATCTGGAAACTGCGGCACCCCCCGCCTCTTCACCCACCGATGCCCCCGCGGCCAACCTTGCTGCATCCACAGCGACAAGTTCCACGGCAACTCCTGCTGTTGATCCCGCCGCCGCGATGCTAAGCATATTCAGTGCTCCCTCCTTCCAAGCAATGATGGCAGGGGTTATCCGCAGTGCGGTCCAGGAGGAGCTGGCCAAAAAATGAGTTTGAACATTGTATCCTGCAACAGTGTATTCTGCATCTTGTGTTTGGATGGTGGACAGTTTTCTTGCACATCTTCTTTGTAGATTACTTTTGGGATTGTTTTTTTACAATATCTTGTTCTGTATCTTTCATACACGAAATCGATCTGCCCTCCCCCCCCCTTCCGGCTGTGGTATATTTTGTGAAGAATGTGAGAAAATTTCCTCAACCATGGTAAGTTTCGGTAATGCTTGAACAATAATCATATCCACACAAAATATTATCGATGCAGCAACATGTTGCTTGGGCCATGCATCGTCTTTGGGTAGAAATTTTCTCTTCAACAGGCATCGAGGAGTGCACAGGGCATCCATTTCAAGCTTTTACTGACGCGTGCCAATTTGCAAACAAAGTGTACTGTTGTATTGAAATGTGGCATTTGCCCTGAGGCGATAGAGGGCTCCATTTAGAAACCAAAGATTTCATTAGCTGATCCGGCATGTTCCAGCAGCAAGCCAGCCCAGCAGAAACCTAACAGGAAACCCGCGATCAGCTCCCACATGCACCGGGCGGCGACCCCCGCAGCGACCCCCGCTGCAACCTCCGCAGCGACCCCCGCGGCGACCCCAGCAGCAACCCTTGCAGCGACCCCTGCGGCGACCCCCGCGGCCACCACCACAGACGCCAATGGATCACGCGCCTCACCAATCCAATGATCAAGAGTGAGCTCAAATTCTTGACTTCATGGCTTTCGAACTCTGCTACTCACATTGGATTATCACTAGGATCATGTTTAGTTTGGCCATTTGCCTCTGTGTAAACATGAAAAACTTCCTCCATGAGGCAGATGGCTACAGGGAAGAGCGGCGCATGAAACAAAGCAGCCAATTCTGCCACCCGTAGCACTAGGATTTAGCTAAAAACTATGGTTCTTACCATGGAAATCCCATCCTAACGTATGGTGCTTACCATGCCATGGCAAGAGCCATGCATTTGCTTCATATCTGCACGCAACACATGGTGCACATCACTGATTCCACAGCCACCTCCCGTTGTCATCATCTCGGGCAACCTCCACCGCACGCGGCACAACATGGCGGATGATCTCCCGTCAGTTTACACTGTTTTTCGCTGTTTTTCGCTGTGATCCCCTAACGATGACACCTGATGGCGGGATTTCCGCTGCTTGATAACGCTGTTGGGCGCGCAAATTGTTTTATCTTCACTCTTGTCAATCGATCATATCTTATCGCATGTATTGATGTCATGTCATATCTACACTTGCCGCTCCTTGTCAAAGGACGTCCCGCCAATACGTGTTCCCCATTTGAGCACGAGATACTCCCGTAGACCCCGGTGCCATGCCGATTGCTTCAAAGCATATGCCCGTGCCCCCGCCTCCACAAAATGATCCCAATCCTCCCTCTGAGCTTGCCGCTTTGACCACCACTCTGACTGCCACTGCAGGTATGCGCACACCCAACGCATCTCCTCCTTGAGCAGGACAACCTCCTTGGACCACCGGTCTCTTCGGACGCGGGCACGAGCCCATTCAACGCGGATCGCTAGGCAACATCAATGAAGAGGTCGGTCACCGGAGAGCGGATCCACTCACAGTCATGCAGTTGCTCCTCTGCCTTGTCCAGAGCGCCTGGCGCGGTCCAAATCCAAGACATCGTTCGCTTTGAGGAACCGGAATTGTGTCGAGGAGCTCGCCCCGAACCAAATGCCGCCAACCTCTTGGCAGAGGACGCGTCGCTGGAGCCGGCGTCATCCTGAGCCACCACAGCAACGCCATCCATCTGCAGGTCCTCCTGAGCCAGCTCACGCAAATGCTGAAACGAGGTGATAGATCCACAAGCCACCAAAGCGGCCCGCCCCGTCCGGTACCTGGCAGCAGAGGCGTTGACCTTTTTGCCAATCTCGTCGATGAGCGTGCGCGCCTTAGTTGAGTTGACCTGCCCGGTGACGTTTGTGTTCCGGAAGAGGATAATGTGGCGCTTGGCGTGCAGACGGGCGCGGACTTGCGCCAGACTGTTCTCGCACTGCGCCACCCTCAGCCGCACCTCCATCCCTACTAGCCCTGAAGTGTTTTCTCGATGGTTGCCCAACAACCCAGGCATGTTGCTAGGCATCCACAATTTGATGTTCTCGGGTAGAGGAGCCATGGCTGGCTCTGCGGCCTGTATGATTGCCTTCGCCGCTGGCATGTGCAACGCCTGAAGCTCCCTGAACCGCTCAATCTTGACTAGCACAGCACGCCTCCCCTCCTCAATTTGGTTAGCCCGATCTGGTGCAACAAGGACAGTCCCTGCGAGCTCCGAACGTATGCGTCGCCTGATGGATATCAACAATGGGTCTCCCTGATAACAGAGATCCGACGTACTGTGCGTCTTCTATCTGTATTCCGGCCGTCAGGAACGATGTAGCACTCTGCCCCTTCAGTAGCAAACGTCCTTCGGCCATCAAGCGTTCTTCCTCCTTGCGCACAGCCAGTCGGACCTGGGCCTCCGAGATACACTCTGAGTCGAAAAGATCAGTCACGGTCGGAAAGCAGGCGGGGCACATACGAGAGCTGTCCAGCACATACGGATTGGGCTTGCTGTTGTCCTGTAGCCACGCCTCGATTCCAGCGAGCCATTCCTCCTTCATGCTTTTTGGCACGGTCGAGCTGACATCATTGAATGCACGGACTTGAATCTTGCGCTCGGCTTCAGCAACCTTGACTCGCGCTGGCAGCGTCTGCGCTATAGCATCCTCAGCATTGCCACTGTGACCCAGCACGAGCACTTACCCAGTCCCAGATTCTTCATGAAGTTGATATGGTCAATCTTCTCCTCCAGAACATCCGCTCTCGAGCCCAATGACAACGTCCTGGTCGCATAGCCGGTCGGATTCAGTGTTGACCACACCCTCTCAATCCCCTCGCCATCTGTCTTCCCGACACCCGGCTTGAAAGACAGACTATTTGCATTCTGGCACTCGGTGTCATGGGATGATGCATGCCATACGGGGAGCCCACATTGAACCTCGAGATTGTTGAGCGGCAGGTGTAGCTCAGATGGTAAGCGCTTCATTCGTTCCTCAAGTTTCTTCTTCCACTGGCATCTGATATCATATGAGAGCGTGAGCCACAAGAGGCTGAAGCCGGAAAGAGCCGAGAACACTATGAAGTCCATGTTCGCGTACCTGCCAGGGGAGTTCAGTATGATTCACAACGGGAACACCCTTCCACGCACCGCTCACCCTTCTGCAGATCCCCAATGCCGTTCGGTCGCATGCACTCATGACGGGCACAGACACATCCTCCCACTCCAGAAACGCGCAGGCCTGTTGTCAAACAAGTGTCCTTCTGAAGGAGTGCTGTGAACACGATACATGTGCTGGTCTTATGACAAAAAAGCGTGAGTCCTGATTGGGTGAAAAACATGTGTACATACATCATCCTCGCTGACGTAGTTCTTCACATGAGTCGCGTATGCGTTGGGCGAGACCCAGTATCCCCATCCCGGACCCAGAGACTTGTCCTCTATTTTGTTTGCTTGTATCCGGTTCTTCAATCAGAAATTCGCATCCAGCGCCAACAGCAGCATGAAGATGAAGCTAGCTTGGGTCAGCACATGTACGTCATCCGCCTTTGCCAGACGCGCTCACCGAAACGATGGGTGAACATCCCTCCAGTCTTTGGGCAGGTTGCGACCCTCATACGGACATGCCCAGCAGATAACGGCACACTCTCCCTGCCTTGCACTCTCCACCCCGCACGGATCATGCCCCCGCCCCGCCCGCAACAGGCGTAATAGGAAAGCCCATTGACGCGACATCCTCAGAAACTGCTTATACCGGTCCTGGCGCGTGAGATGAGCCTCTTGAAAGGATATTAGGGACAAGCTACGCACCACCATCTTATGCATCCCAGTCGTTGCGCTCACGTCTGTCATCTGCTCCAGCGATGTCATGAAGTCTCTGGCGTTCATATTGCCGACTGTCTGGTACGACCGGAAAGACTCCAGCGTTTCGAATGTAGCACAAGTGCCAGGGTCAATGTTCGTAGCCGGATACCAACCATTCCGTAACAACTGCTGCACATTATCTGCATGGTTGGACTTGTCACACTTGCAGTACCGCATCTGTACTTCATGGATATGCGGCGCGTGTATCACCACCATCTGCTGCACCTTCGCCGCTGGGAACATGCACGGCAGCCCTCCATGACCTAGCTGATATACGAGCCCCAACTTTGCCAAGGACATCTTCTGCCACCAACATCCGTTCCACTCCTATGCTTTGGTCAGTCAATGACACGGACACAAGTCTTCAATTGACCTTGATTACATGGAGCGGAGTGGTTGCGTGTCGGTCTAGGATGCATTCCTTGCACTGCAGGAACACCCCGCAGTTGTCATAATTCAACTCTTTTTCATCTTATCATCGACGACCTTATCTTATCTTGGCACGACTTATCTTATCACGGATCACAGCATCAGACGATCCGGGCTAGGGGTTCCAGGGGTTATCTCTATCGATTCGAGGCTGCGCGACATATGCTCCAGAAGGTTCTACTACAACCCATGACCAGTGCTCCATGCGGTACATAGCCCTATGACTCATTAGTTGTAGATATGACTCAGACTGGATTTGGGTATAAATACTGTAGCTACTTGGTTGTATTCTCCAGTCTTCGAATTCACTTCTCTTTTCGACTTTGTTTTTGGGTTGATTGTCACATAATTCGAAGACTCCCCTCATACCCTCGTACCTCTCACCTCCTACCCTGCTCCGTGCACCGCTACGCCCGCTATATCCTCTTCACCCTTATCACCCCACTCACCCTTTTACCAAATCATCTAGTCGCTCGCTGCAATCACAGTGAAAGGTTCATATCAAGCAAACAGCACCAGGCCACGGGTAACGTTGAGCCCGACCCAAGCCTTACGGTAGCTACAAGGAGTGCTGCGGAGACCTTCGGGAAAACGCACCTTGGGATCATCGGGCACGTGAAGAGCTAGGCCCGGGATCTTTTTGCTAGCAAAAGAACCCTCGCTCGAGTGCTTATACAGCACACAAATCCACCATTTCGTTCCGATTCCCATTGTCGTCTGGGAGTCCGTCTCATCCTCCCATCATACCATCGTCGCCCGATCTGGCGCATCAAAACCAACCCGGGCCCTCCAACCCCTACCTCGCCCTCCCGCCGCCTGAAGACGAGATCCCCGACCTTGGCGAGTTACCCTCCGAACAACCACCCTCGCCCCCACCTACCGCACCTGCTCCTACCATGTCAGGACATCTGTGACAATCAACCCAAAAATGAAGTCGAAAAGAGAAGTGAATTCCAAGACTGGAGAATACAACCAAGTAGCTACAGTATTTATACCCAAGTCCAGTCTGAGTCATATCTACAACTAATGAGTCATAAGGCTATGTACCGCATGGAACACTGGTCATGGGTTGTAATAGAACCTTCCGGAGCGTATGTCGCGCAGCCTTGAATCGATAAGGATGATCCCTCGAACCCCTAGCCCGGGCCGTCTGATGCCGTGATCCGTGATAAGATAAGCCGTGCCGAGATAAGATAAGATCGTCGAAGATAAGATGAAAAAGTGGCCGAACTATGACAACATCACCGCATCACCCTCGCCGCCAATCCCCCCTACTTTGATGGCGACAAGTCCAAGTACCTGGGCTTTGTGGACGCGTGCACCACTTACATCGGTGCCTATCGGTCGGAGTTCTCGCTGGATGAGACAAAAATCCTCTTTGTTCTGTCCTACCTCCGAAATGAGAGCGGCACAAGCTGCGCCGCCTCGAGATGGGCGATGAACTGGAAGCAGCACAATTTCGAGGGTTTCCAAGGAATGAAGGCGGGAGTCACCACGACAACCTTCCTGGAGGAGCTCCAGAGAGCCTTTGGGGATTCTAACGCAGAACAAGTCGCCGCTGCCCGACTCATGGCCCTTCGCCAAGGGAGACAGTCCTTTGCGGACTACATCTCTGACTTCCAAATGCTGGCTGCGGACGCAGGATACAACGTGGTCGCCTCGACCGATGACAAGGGCGAGTACAAGAAGGGGGATCAGGACAACCATCCTCATCGAGTTCCTCGAGCGCGGACTCAGCAGCGAAATTGCAAGCCGCCTCTACAACACCGGCGTTCCCCTGCCCAAGGCATATGGTGCCTTCAAGAACTGGTGTGTCAACATCGAGGCCAATGCTTTGCGCGATCAGCTGCGTAAGGCATCCTATGCGCACTCAACTCTGCGGCCCCCACCCCAATTCCGCCCTCAGGCTGCACCATCAGCACCTGCACCCGCTCCGGCCCGACCAGCGGCCAACAAACCGGTCCCAATGGAAATCGATCGCACCCATGCCCGCGGCCGCAATATCATCTGCTACAACTGTCAGCAGCCTGGGCACATCGCGCGGAATTGTCCGGAGCCCAAGAAGAAGCGCACGTTCTTCAATCGGGCCACAATGCTAGAAGAGATCGAGAACAGGGACAAGGACAATGAGTTCCTCAAGGAGATCGCCGAGAAGCTGTGCGAGAAGGGTTTTTGAAGCGCTCCACTCCTCTAGCCAAGGAGGTGGAGCGTCTGGACTATGGACGTTTTTCTGTACTTGTTTTGATGAAAGATATGAACGATTCTCCTCATACATACATGATCCCAGACTCACTATGTACTAATATTCATGATTTTCTCGTTGCTGATATGGAAAAGGAACGTCAAAGGAAAATAACTTTAAATAGAGAGTATTCACAAAGTAAAAAGGATCAGAAAGCTGCGGATAAATTAATTTTGGACTCCTACGTATTTATGGCTCGTGGAGAAGGAACCACGTCAACAAAGACCGAAAAGGGGAGCACCGCTCCGAAGGCTCAATCCTTGGAAAAGGAGGAAGCACCTAAGGAATCTGCCAAAATCAAGGTTCCAGAAGCACCCAAACGCACCAGGGTGCCAGATGCCGTCTAGAGGAAATTGGCGGCTGAGAAACAGAAGGGCCCCCAGCCCAGCAAGTTGGCGCAGGAATTGCGCAGTTACCAGGCCGAGAGGAAGAGGCATTCGATGGACGTATATGTCCAGATCACGGGTCTGGACTCAGGGAAAACGCGCGGAGTCAAGGCGCTGCTCGATAGCGGCTGCAGTACCTGCTGCATCGATACCGACTACGCGCAGGCAGAGAAGCTGGATATCCAAGAACTTCCCCAACCCATTGTGGCTTGTAACACCGACAACACTGAAAACATCAGCGGCCGGATCACGCATTACGTTGACCTAAGGATGAGAATCGGTCCTCACGTGGAGACACGCACGTTCCTTCTGACGTGCTTAGGGAAGGCCCAGATCTTCATTGGTCTTGACTGGCTAACGGAACACAACCCTGAGGTGGATTGGCAGGAGCAGACCATGAGATTCAGTCGATGCCCAGAGCGTTGTCACATGAGGGGTCACGAGGAGCATCAAGCGATGATTGACATGGATGCAATCGACCTGGAGACTGGTGCACCGGATCTGGAAGAAGGAGAATCAATCCTGTTGATCGACTTTGGGAAGGAGGTGGATCTACGGCTGAAGGAAACGCCGGTGCAGAAATTCGCAGAAGAAGCGGAAAAAGAGAAGGAGAGGATGACCGAGGGGAAGATTCCGGATCAATACCGGAAATTTGTCAAAGTATTTGCCAAGGAATCGTTCGACTCACTACCGGACCGACGGGCATAGGATCATGCGATTGAGCTCAAACCTGGTTCCAAAGCAGTGGACTGCAAGGTGTACCCGCTATCACGAAACGAGCAGGTCAAACTCGACGAGTTCTTACAAGAGAACCTGGCCAGCGGACGAATCAGGCCATCAAAATCACTCATGGCATCAGCATTCTTCTTTGTCAAAAAGAAGGATAGTTCGCTACGTCCCGTCCAGGATTATCGGAAGCTGAACGAGATGACGATCCAAAATCGATACCCGCTGCCACTGATCTCCGAGCTGGTCCATAATCCATGCGGCGCCAAGTTCTTCACCAAGCTCGACATCTGATGGGGATACAATAACGTACGGATCAAAGAGGGCGACGAGTGGAAGGCTGCGTTCCGCACGAACCGCGGCCTATACGAGCCCTTGGTCATGTTCTTTGGTCTCACGAACTCCCCGGCCACCTTCCAAAACATGATGAACGACATACTCCGAGAACTGATCAACGAGGGTTACGTGGTAGTCTATCTGGACGATATACTGATCTTCACAGAGAACTTGGACGAACATCGGCGGATCACGAAACGAGTGCTCGAATTGCTCCAGAAACACAAGCTATACCTGAAGCCCGAAAAGTGCGAGTTCGAACGCACGGAAATCGAATATTTGGGTGTAATTATTGGACACAATTCGATGCGGATGGACCCAGTCAAGATCAAGGGCGTGATGGAATGGCCAGAACCAAAGAGCGTCAAACAGGTCCAAGCTTTCCTCGGATTCACAAACTTCTATTGGCGCTTTGTCCGGGGATACGCAGAGGTTGCCAAGCCATTGACACGGCTGACAGGGAAGGCAGGATGGTCATGGGGTGCAGATGAGCATGCGGCATTTGATGGATTGAAGAAGAGAATCGCGGAGGATGCGGTCCTAGCACTGCCAAATGACACTGGCCAATATCGTCTGGAAGCCGATGCTTTGGAAGGGGCAACAGGATCAGTTTTGAGCCAAAACCAAGACGGCATTTGGCGCCCAATCGCATTTATTTTGCACGCACTGACCGAAACCAAGCGAAATTACGAGATCTACGACAAGGAAATGCTTGCAATCATGCTATCATTGGACGAATGGAGACAGCTACTACTGGGAGCCACGGAGACGTTCGAGATCTTCACTGATCATCAGAATTTTGAGTACTTCCGGAAGCCGCAGAAGCTCAATCGACGGCAAGCACGATGGATCACGGAGTTGGCGGAGTTTGATTTCACCTTACGACACCGACCCAGCGCACTCAACCGCAAGGCGGACCTCCTGTCTCAACAAGCAGATCACGATCAGGGCAAGAACAACAACAAGGACATCACGCTACTGAAGCCCGAGTTCTTCCGATCACAAGAAGTCACATTCGAGGGACAGGATCAGCAGCTAATCGATGAGATCAAGGCCACTCGATCAATTGATGGAAGCGTCAAGACGGCCTTGGAGAAGTCACTTGCTGGATGGAAAAAGGAAGATGGGCTCATCACGTACCACGGGAAGCTCTACGTACCAAGGGACGAGGAACTGCGAGACAAGATCATCGGGCTACACCACGACACACCCTTGGTCGGACACGCTGGGATCAATCGAACGCAGGAAATGGTGGAAAGGAACTACTGGTGGCCAAGGATGGGGAACCAAATCCGGAAATACATCCAGACGTGCGAGGCGTGCCAGCGGACCAAGACCAGAAGAGCCAGGACAGGGAGTTTGCACCCGCATGCAGTGCCAAACGCGCCGTGGGAAATCATCTCCATGGATCAGATCGGACCCTTGCCGGTCAGTAACGGGTATGACGCAATTCATGTGTGGTGTGACACCTTCACTAAAATGATCCATGTCGAACCAATTAGTACTGACATCAGCAGCGAAGGAGTGGCACGATTAACCAGGGACCGAGTCTTCCGCTACCACGGGATCCCTTGCAAGATCATCACCGACAGGGATTCACGTTACATCAAGGGCTTCATGAGGGAGACGAATCGGATGTTGGGCGTGGAAATGAATCCAGGGACCGCATATCACCCGATCACGGATGGGCAGACAGAACGCATGAATCAGGAGATCAAGCATTATCTCCGCATCTACGTCAACTACCATCAGACGGACTGGTCGGAGTGGCTAGGGATGGCAGAATTCGCATATAACAATAAAATGAACACATCTACCAAAATATTGCCATTCTATGCGAATCACGGATATCACCCATGGAAGGGAGTGGAGCAACGGATGGAGTCGAGAAACAAGTTGGCGGAGGAATTTGTAAAAAGAATGAAAGAAATACAAGACAAAGCAAAAGCAGCATTGGAAAAAGCAAAAGAAAAAATGAAAAAATACTACGATAAACAAAGAAAAGAAGTTCCGGAGTTGAAGGTTGGGATGAAGGTGTACATAGAAGGGGAAAATATCGAGACGGATCGACCATCAAAGAAGATGAGCGACAAGACACTAGGGCCATACGAGATATTGGAGAAGGTTGGAGCGGCTGCATGGAAGCTGAATTTGCCGGACACGGACCGAAGACACCCGGTGTTCAACGAGTCACTGTTGACACCCTATCACGAACCACCCCCCCATCGCCGAGAGAAGAGACCCGTGGCCAAGATGATTGGAGGAGCAGAGGAGTGGGAAGTCGAAGAAATCGTGAAAGAGCGAAACGTTGGCCGAGGAAAACAGTACTTGGTCAAATGGAAGGGATGGCCGCATAGCGAGAACACCTGGGAACCATCACGTCACCTTACCCACGCGAAGAAGGTCCTGAGAGATTGGCAGAGGAAACAATCCAACCCAGACACACGCATTCACCTCCTGCCAACTCTCGAAGCCGGACATTGGGATTATCTCATCCATCGCTACAAACCCAAAGACGAGCGCCTTCCATATCCCCAGCGACAACTCTTCGATCCGTACGAAAACGTCTTCACGCCCATTGGCCTAGTCGATGAGGACATCGACCCTAGAGAGGGGGTAATGTCACAATTCAACTCTTTTTCATCTTATCATCGACGACCTTATCTTATCTTGGCACGACTTATCTTATCACGGATCACAGCATCAGACGATCCGGGCTAGGGGTTCCAGGGGTTATCTCTATCGATTCGAGGCTGCGCGACATATGCTCCAGAAGGTTCTACTACAACCCATGACCAGTGCTCCATGCGGTACATAGCCCTATGACTCATTAGTTGTAGATATGACTCAGACTGGATTTGGGTATAAATACTGTAGCTACTTGGTTGTATTCTCCAGTCTTCGAATTCACTTCTCTTTTCGACTTTGTTTTTGGGTTGATTGTCACACCAGTCTAGGCACTTGAAGATCCTGTGCTTTGGCTTGTCCCCGGCTGGCTGGTCATTTTGTGTGTCTCTCTCATCCCCCGACTTCTGTTCCTCGCCACTTTCACATGCTGTTGCGGCCCTGGTAGGGTTGCCCTCGGATGTCGTTTGGCTCTCCAGTCCTGCCTTGCACACACCGCATTGCCTGTTGTACATCGAGTCTGCAAGTCCTTCGCTCCGAAGGAGCTTGTTGAGGAAGAAGGACATGCGTGGCCGCCATAGGGACATGGGATTGGTCTGGGAGCTCGGTGAGTCGCACATTACCCTCTCTCTTGTCCCACCCACCGTGCTCCCGTAGGTCTTTCGGCCGCTCTTTTGAGCTTCAGTATTTGCTCCCTCCTCCTTGTCTGTCTCCGCGTTGTCGACCTCGTCCACACCTGTGTTGTGAAATGAATCAACAGATTCATACAGGGCGGAATCAGGCAGGTTTGGTACCCAGAGGTGACGGGCAGGATCCTGGTCCAAGGTATGGGGCTCCTCTACGCGCTTGCGTTTTCAGCTGACGTTCACGACTTCAGACCTTTCCTCCCCAGTCCACAATGATATGTAAATCGCGGTATCTGCGCTCCACAATTCCGGTGCCCTCTGGACGCTGGGTCTGTGTAAGCCTGGTTTCTCTCTGGGTCGACGCCCAGGTGCTCGGCGAGGCAGGGACATAGCTATCGGTGAATGCAAACCTGAAGATCTTGACTGGATCTTGACCATTTCTGTATTTGTGTATCTATGTACAATTTTACAATTGCCACATGCTGAAATTGACACGCAATGAAATCGGCACATTGCCTTCATATCAATCCACACAATCCATATGAAATTTCTACTGCGCTACGGTGTGAACTCTCTGCAGCCTACAGCGTAAATGAGCCATGAAGAAATATACAGACCATCCAAAACCTCACTGGGGATCATCTCTCGCCTCTGCATGCATTGTCAACCAAGCGCGCTTGTACTTGATCTGTGCCCAGGGGTTGGAGCAATACGCAAATGCGGCCAAATGGAGAACAACCAGATCTCGATAAGCCAGGCTTGACCAGTTCCATTGCTTCCGCCCTTTTTTTCCTTCCACATGCCATGAAAAATCTACGCTCCTTCCCGCAGGCACAACCTTGGCCCCGCTGTGGGCGCTCGTCGTTCAGCAAATGGAACCGCTTTTGTTGCGTTCCTCTGTTGGCTCCTCACCGCAAAGACACTGGTGTGTACTATCTGCGGTGGGTTCTGCACCTCCGAGCCCGTCAAGTTGAGTTCCGCGAGCAACAAGCAGACCGTCTCCTTCCCAGCGTGCTTCACACGCGCGGTCTTACCCAGCTCAAGATAGATGCGGAGACGGTAAGGGCATTTTTCTTGGACGATTTCCGTGCATGACAGTCTTTCCAGATGTTTCCCAACCCCACCAAGGTAATAGTGTGGGAGGGGAGCCATCTGCTCGATGGCAGCTACCAGACACGTCAGGCCTCCCAGATGACAACGATGGCTCTTGCCCAGTACGTCCTCTGTTTTTGGCTTTGAGTTGCAGCAGCTGATTTTGTCCCAGGCACGCTGTTGTTCCATTTCTGGACGGTAATGATTATGTTAGCACCATTGTCGCACACAGTCCGAAGCATGAGGCCATGAAATGGCAGGCGCAAACGCACGGTCTCTTACATTCTTTGAGGGATTTCTTCTATTCCGGAAAGGTCCCTCGGGACGTCATCGAGCACCAGGATTTCAGGTTTCGGTTCGGTGCCGAGTACTGCGAGCCTAGTGGAGTGAGTCTGTTCAGGGCCTGTAGAATCACGCACTGAGTTTTGGTATTGCAGGCACCTCGCACCATCCGCATCGAGCCCGAGGAAGCAGAAAGCGTGTGGACATGGACCGTAGTTAACGCCAGATCGCTTGAGCATGTTGCTGCCTATCAAAACCGTATGTGCTCTTGTCAATCTGTGCAATAGCATGTTTAACAGACACGAGTAGACCTCCTTGAGACGTACTTTCCCAGGGCATACCTCGAGCTTCGTACCTGGATGGACGAACTCTTGTCCCGAGATATCATTGAGCCAGTGCTTTGGGACTCTGTCTTTACCACAGGTGAGATCCGGAAAGCCTCTCTGCCCCACCACGCTGCCTTCAACACTCTCATGGCAGTAACGGCCGTAGGCGACTACAACAGCAAGATGCACGGTCATTTGCACCTGGTGGACGACCAAGTAAATATCGAGTTCCCGCCGGGAGCCACAGCGCTCATGCTTGGTGCTGGCATGAGCTACCGCTTCTTTCCGGTCGGTGAAGGGGCGCGGCGCTGGTTAATCTGTCAGTACTTCGACGCCGGCATGGCCAGATGGATTCAGCGTGCACTCCTTGATGAGCAGGAGTTGACCAAGATTCCCAGTGAATGGACTGAGCGGTCTGCCGCTCAATTTCGAGCAGATGACGATGATGTTTGGCACATGGAGCAAGGCTGTGCGGATCGTGCTTTCAGCCACTTGCAGAAGTATGGAGACACATATGTAATTGCCTAATGAACAGGACAGTTACGAAGTTTTGCAGGGCGGAGAATCTCATACTCCCGGGGGTCGTCTTCTAGCAGTATGTCTGTGATTCCCTTGGCTTTCAGTTGCGTGATGCTTCTCTCTCGGTCTCGCGCCCGTCGAGTCTTCTTGTTGGCCACGTATTGCGCGAAGGCTTCAGCACCAAACTTGGTGTAGTAACGCCTGAATGACCTGAATTGAAGGGCCGGATCTCATGAAAGTCACGCACCAATTACGCCGCTGCACCTCCTGAATCCTAAGGTGGTGTCGGTGACGCTCACGATACCTTGCATGATTCTTGCGGGCACGCGCACTAAACACCTCTCTCTCCGCAGTGGGACCCAACTCCATCTCCGACCGTCGCCTGGGTGATCAGCATCAGTACCTCAATATATCAATCCGGATAAACCGTACTGTGCCATTCGCTGACGGTTCCTCTCCCTTTGCTCGGCTCTCTGATTTAGGTCCAGCGTTTTCAACTCAAGGGAAGGAAGTCAAGCAATGGACAATGGACGTGCGTAAGAGCAGTCCTCACGTCAATCAATATCACTCTGGATCACAGATCCCCAATCAGCATTGATTGATATCACATTTCTAAATCAGCAGAAAAGTACATGACTGAACGTGGGCTACGGTGGACTATGACGATGCTTGATTGACCATGATGCTGGGACTGAGTGAGCGAGCATACTGGAGATGCAAGGAACCGGCTCACAATGATGAGACAAGACGTTTTCGGGGCGACAGGCTATTGGGAGCGGCCAATAAAAGAGAGATATTGAGAAAGGCATTGGCTACACAGCGCTGGGACTACTCTGGCGAGCCACTCGACGTCTCTCTTGAGCCTTCAACTTAATCTTGCGTCGGTTCCTTGCTAAACGTCAGAATAGCAGCGGGTGCCTAGCACGCCAGCTTACAGTTCCCGATACTTGGCTGCAGCCTGCTTTCGACATTCACGGCGTGCCTTGTGCTCATCGGGGTCGACACCAACACCGTGGTACAAGAGCCTCATGGCTTCATGAGTCTTACGACAAAGATACTCACCGTTCCTGCTCACTATGAGCTGGCACAGCAGAACAATCTTAGAGAGGACACACTTTGCGCGGTACCGCCAGCAATAGATCCCGTGCACGAAGGGTTCAGGAGGTCGTCGGGCAGATTGTTTGCATCCGGTGGCCGTGTGCATCCTCGCGGTTGGTGTGGTGAGAGAGAAAAAGACAAGTGTCACATGGTGTCACAACGCCTTCCATAACAGGTTCATTGCACTGGCGAGGGACCATTTGGCTTGGGTACAAAGCAAAACTAATCCTGTAGCCACCAGACTTGGCATGGACCGTAATGGTGAGCATATGAACAGTTTTATATAAAAAACCCAATGTTAAAAAGTACAACATCTTTGCGGTCCTGAAAGTTCTGTTTAAGGGTCATAGTTTCGTATGCGAATCATGAATTGAGTGGTGTGAAACGCTCTGTGTCTCACCAATTTCGAGAATCCGGCGTCTAATTCTCATGTGTGTATTGCTGAGTTTGCGCTACTTCATCCGGGCTGCGACGGTAGCATCATGCCTTAAACGAGCAATGAAGTTTGCATGTCCACAAAACTGGGACCCGGAACAATCAGGCTGCCAGAAGCTGTATGGGACCCTGAAATGCAAGCGCATACAGGAATGTGAAGGTAGGATATCAACCAATAACCTGACAGACTTTCAGCAGAATCCAACACCAACACAAGGAGCTATTGACCAAATATCTACAGAGCCATTCACGTAGTGACTGAGAGAGACGCACCCTTGTTCAGAACGATTCGTTGGCCTGGGGCTTCAACACTTCGGAATTAGGACCTAGTAGTGCCGATCTACCTGCGTATAAATTCACAGACTAATCGGGGGGCAGGTTCACGAGATCTAGCTGCGACTCGGACGCGAGGGCGAGAAAGCCTCGTTGGGAAATACCTTCGGCAATAGAGTAACCGACATCATTGATCGCTCTGAGCATCCAAGCGGGACACTATGACAGCTGTGGCAGTACATAAGAAGCTATGATCGATGATGGATAGGTCTGCATTACTCGTCTCAATACGTAGGTGCTACACATTAAGAGTTTTTACAACGCCCTTTCGCTGGGCATCCGCAAACTTGGCCCTGGCAGCATCTTCACCCTCAACGCTCTCGAACAGCTGACCAGGCACGCCAACAACATTCAGCTGACTCTCGAGCGATGATCAATAGACGCCTGGCCGTAGACCACAATATACAACATACCATAGGTGATCGTTCGCAGACTCGTCGCCACTGAGGGGGTTGTATGTCTCGTAGTCGTTGTCGGTCACCGGGATGGGCGGAACATATCGGAAGTGATCAGTATTGCACGTAGACGTCCACCTGCGCTGCTGGGCGTAGAGGAAGGCAGCATCTGCATCCGCGCGGGATGTATATCCATGATGCAAAGCACATGGGTATCCTTGCACGTTATCCCTGCATCGATCCCTGAGTGACCATGTGTCATCATGTTCTGTCTACTTAGCAACTTGAGAAAGCAACACACCAAGAATCATAGACTCTAGGTTCTCACCCTATGAATACCGCATAGGCTGCAGGGCGAGGGCCCTTGTTTTTCTTCTTGGGCGATAAGGAGTACGCCTGAGAGCCAGGAACATCCAGGGTCAATGCGCCAGCAACGGACCTGCCACAAATATTAGTCATGGACTTAATGCAGACTGAAACTCGCCGCTTAGTACTTACCAGTCGGTTGTGACACTGGCAAAACCGGGAGTTTGATATTGATAAACCGTGCCGTGCTGCACAGTTCGTCGTGCAAGAGCAGGAGGAGGACTACGAATAGCCGACTGCAGGGCCGGCAGCTCCGATTGACGCAAACTGGGAGGCAGTCCAGGTGTGGGATGCAGAGAGAGTCGACCCAGAAGTTGGAGCATGCGCTCGTCATCGTCCACAGTGGTCAGAAGACAAGGAGTATGTAGATCAATCAAATTATAACCGACTGGTAGAGAGATGCCTTGATGAGAAGGTGCTGATCTCTGCCAGATGCGCATGGCAATTGTTGATTTTCATCAAGAGTCTTGATGGGAGGGCGTTGATCTATGCCAGATGCGCATGGCGATTGTTGATCTTCATCAAGAGGCACGTCCTTATGCGGACAGAAAAAACGACAGGACCAGCATTCAAATGTCGGGAAGCACAAGACACTAGATAAGTCCATAGCACTACTACGCTCACAAAACAAGCACGAGAAACGTGCAATCGTGGAGGTCAGAATGAGATCAACGACAAGAGTGGCGGGACACACCAAATCACACAACAGACACCATGTTCAATGCCAAAGTCTGATTGAACGCTCCAATTGCCATCGCCTCGCTAGGATGACCCCCCATACTACTGCCACTGGCACCAGTGACTGCAGCCACAGCAACTGCGTTGGTAGTGGTGATACCAACATAGTGGCCACGGGTAACTGCGTACCAAACAGTCTTGGGGGTAAACAACGCGGACTGTGTTGCTGGCATTCAACAAGAGGAGCCGTCGGCACAACGTTATACATGGTGCCGACGACCCAAGGTCCCTGAGATTGGATGCCGGCGGGGGCAACCGGCAGGGCAGCAGGGGCGGCAGGAACTGCTGGTGGGGTCGGACCAGGCGCTGAGACAACAGCAACGGTGGCTGCGGCTGGGTTTTTCACTGGAGAACTGGATTAGCACGCTGAGGAGGTAAAGAAACCGTCGATTACATTGATGAACCCGGGCGGTGAGTGCATCAATGATGTGGACGAGAGTGGTAACGGCGAGGTCTACAGAAGTTGGATCAGAGTAGAGCATTGGGATGAAAGAAAGCAGTACCATTATCTTCTGCCACTGGGACACCAGACAGTGTCCCAGGAGCGTCATTGAGATCCGTCATAGTAGAGAGCAATGCGTGAAAACTGGAGGGGTGACAAAAGAGGGTGGGAAAATGGAGAACGATTGTCAAGCCTTTATCTGGGCACTTCCCTTCCATCAGCGGGGATATCACCGGAGCGAGGGCCCGCATAGCTGGGTACGGAAGAGGAAACGCTGCAAGCACACATGTGACCAAGTGAGTGAGCAAAATAAACAAAAACATAACTGGCTTGAGCATCGGTACCTCTTTGCCTGATAGCAAGGAATCCGGTCACAGTGAGCACACCATGGCAAGCGTTCCTGATTCCACATGCTAATCGTGACTAGAAATTGCTATGGTTGTCATAACCACATCCAGCAAGAAGCGGAAAAGCACAAAGAAGGAGCGCGGGAACTTGCGTCTGTGGGCTGAAGGAGCACAGGAGGATACCCTCCGAAAGCATTTGAATCGTGTTTCCGAGGCAAGACTGCGAGGAACGTGGGCGCAAGAAAGGGCCGCAATCCAGGCAGCGTGCAATGAATATCATGCGCGTATTCCTTGGAACACCCCAGACCACGTGGAACCTACCATTGTGCTCGACTACGACCCAAAGGCTCCAACTGCGGCTGAAGACCTGACAGAGGAGGAGGAGAAAGAGAAATGTCGCCTCATCGCCGTGTGCAATGCTGTGAGTCACACATGTGACCGTGTCATCTGTCCGTGCACTCATCATCCACAACCACAGCGTATAACCCGATGGTACACATACCGTATCAGACGCGCGCTCAAGAAGCAGCGGGAGAATACCCTTGATCCCTGCAAAAATCCATTTGCTGTATTGCTCGGCAAGCTCTCTGGCCTTGCCCGCGCCCCCAGAGCGCGACAGCCCTTCCAGCAGTTTCAGCGCGAGTCATGGAGGGAGAAGATTGCACCAATCATTGCCATTCGTCGTGCAGAGCTTCCACCGGGTGCCCCCTACCGGGCTGGGTTTCGAGCGGGCGTTGCACGGGAGCTCTTTGCGGGATTGTCAGAGGAGGATAAGCAGGGTCTAAGACAACGGGCAACGGAGGAGGCGGATGTGAAAAAGCGAGAGTATCTGGAGGGTCTGAAGGCTGAGCCGTCTCGAGAGCCGTTGGACGTTCACAAGTAAGCATTGTGGTTGGAACATACAAAAACCAAGATTGACTGGTTTGCAGCGCTATCTGGGCCATTCACAGCGTCATCTACCCCATTCTTGAGGGAATCTACAAACGCACTGGGCTGCAGGCACATCTCATTTGCGGGGGACCTACACCGGAGTTCGGGGGCGAGATCCGCACACACATGTACTTATCGTGGTTTGCAGTCCCCTGGGAAAAGCTGACACACAGACAGTATCTCCTATGGCGAAAACAATGACACCGTCCCAGTGTCGTGGGCCGAGTGGGATGAGGATCGATTCACAAAGAATGTGCGAAAGTTCTTCATCGAGTATCTGCAAACGGTCTACAGTATGTCTATCCTGCCTAGTCCATGATTGTCATACTCATCCCTCATCAGCGGCGGAAGACTGCGCAGCTGCGGCACTTCCGCAGGACGTCCTCGACACCCTCATCCACCAGGGGGATCTGTATACGATGCCCGAGGAAAAGCCTCGTGATGTCAATGGTCCCTCTTCTAACGAGGATGACGATGACGAGGATGTGAATTCGACTGATTCAGATTCGGACACGGACACGGATGTGGATGCGGTTGCCCTGGCCAATGCGGTAAAGAAGAAGAAGGCGCGATATGCAAAGGAGAAGGGTGGTAGAGGAGTGCTGATGATGAAGGAGAAGCAGAAGGCGGGTAATGCGGTTGACAGGGCAAGAGCTCGGCCCAAGCCAAAACCCAAGACGAACGCTGCGAGCAGCGCTACCGTTACCCAAGGCGAGGTTACGTCCATGTCCTCCGCTCGCTCAGCATCCTTCTCTACCACTACACCTTTGGATGTCCCAGAGGCTTGACCATCTCACGATGCTGGATCCCGTGCAGCATCACCTGGCGTTGTCTCGCAATCATTGTTGTCCTTGTCATCCTCTGCCAATTCTCGTTCCCCGTCACTGATATCGGTTCAGGTGCCACGCCCAATGACCATCACATTTGAAAGCCCAATCGGCCCAATCACATTTGAGGATCCGCTGGCGCACATCCCAACGGAAAAGCTGGGGTACAACGATCGACGACACCGAGTGGAGGCTCGCAACATGGCTCTGAAGGAAGCGCTGGATCTCAAACAAGCAACGGCGAGGCTGATGTGGGCGGACGGCAAGCAGACAACAGCCGCGAAGAGGAAAGCACCGCAAAAGCAAACTCCTCCTCCACGAGAGAAACACCAACGCTCGTCGCGATTGCAGGCGAGAGGTGCCGGAGACCCTGCCAAAGGAGCGGGAGGTTCTGGGTCACAGCGGAAAGAAAGTGATGTCATGGACGTGGATCCCGCTGTTGCGGAGAGCCCTGAAGACTCTGGCATGGATCTACAGCTGGACACCACTGCGGACGAACCACCTGCCCCCAATGCCACCGCTAATGACCCGGTCGCTGCCGCCATTCCAGGGGATGCCGCTCTGAGGGATGCTGCTACTGCCGAGCCGCTGGATGCCGATCCCAACGCTGATACCACGGATGCGCCCAATCTCGACGTGTCCGATCCCGACGCTGATCCCGAAGCTGATACCACGGACGCGCCTGATCCCGATCCCGACGCTGATCCCGACGCTGATACCACGGACGCGCCCAATCTCGACGTGTCCGATCCTGAACCCCATGCCACGGATGCCGCTGCCGCGAATTTGTCTGTTGGCGATGACACACGTACACGCCCTCGTTGTCCCGACAAAGCCCCAGTGTGGTTCCGGGACGCTCACCAGCGCTTAATGATCGTGGACCTCGGGGCCGGTGATAGGCTGGCTACCAGACGCGCTCTGCACCAGCTCTGTAAGGGCGTATTTTTGCGCTTTTTACAGAGTTTACTCTTGAACCACTCGGTGTATTGTGTTGCGGATGACAGTGTTGCGCTCAGTAGGACTTGAGGGTCTACTGCCCAGTCGACGACTGTGGATAGTGTCGACGATAGCAAGGTAGTCAGACCACTACTGTGGAACTGGTCTTATGAGTCTATACCAGGCTCAGGGCCATTAGTGACAAACGCTTGGACCGCGACCATTCCCCAAAAGGGATCTTTCGTTGCGTCGACTTCTCAACAAGGGTCATTCTCTGCAGATGGGAACTTGGGCTGAAGGGCTGAGCAATGTGCGACGTTCTCAATAATACAACTACTACTGGACAGGACTTGGCGTTACAAGATTTAAACCATCTTGTCGCGGCAACTCCCGGTTTTGAGTTGGACGTTTCCTCAGATCATGCCACGACGACGACTTGTCACATGTCGGGATCCATTCAATCACGGGACATTGTGGACGCGTCACGGGGACACTTCCAAGTGTCGCGGCGAGTCGCGTCCATACCCAAACACACTAAAATCGACACGGCTAGATCCGTGAACCGAGCCATGTGGGGGACGACTGGCGTGCCTAGGGCCATACGGCTTCTTGGGGCGCCCACGTTGGTCTCACTTGCCAAGACATACCCGTTGGCCAATCCAACACGTCGTATTCCAAAAGTATGACGCGGTGGGTTGACCCACATCAAAAGTATCATATGGACTATGGGGCGGGGTCCTGATCACTCAGGACCTGTCCGATCGTTCAACTTTTCAATTACCCTAAAAGGCAACCAATCTTAGATAGCGTAGCTACTATGCAGTTGTACAGGACTTTACTAAGCATTGTCGTAGACAGTATAAGTAGGACGTCGTTTCTTTGTATTAGGAAGCTTTTCCCTGGACTGTGAATCACTCCCATTTCAGATTGTTTTGTACAATTTGCGTGCCGTGTGATTCCACCCTAAGAAGTTCTGCTACCCCTGCCCGGTCGCGACGAGTTGCTCCCTGAGCACTTGTAGCTACTGTGATTTGAGCTTGAGTTTTGAGATATCAGAAAGTCGGATTCGCCGCATCTGGTTTAGTCGCGGCATTTAGTGTCGTCGCCTTCGGGCTTTGTTGAGATCGTTCCACCCCTCTAGCTTGGCAGTGCGTCGACTAGTTGTGCTCGGGTTGTTTTGGTCAGTTGGCAGTGCGTCGACTTGAGAACTTTGGTTCCACACTTCTTGCTTGGCAGTGCGTCAACAAGTTGTGCTCGGGTTTTGGACATCGGATATTGGCTGTTAGTTGGCAGTGCGTCGATGCGGCATTTTGGTTTACTAGTTGGCAGTGCGTCAACTCAGTACTTTGGTTGTGTTAGTTGGCAGTGCGTCAACTCAGTACTTTGGTTGTGTCAGTTGGCAGTGCGTCGACTTGACATTTTTGGTTCTACTAGTTGGCAGTGCGTCGACTCAGTATATTGGTGGTATTGGTTGGCAGTGCGTCGACTCGGTATTTGGGTTTTGCGTCACCATCTGGACGCTGTCGCTACAAGGGATCTTAATACTTCGTATTAAGTTCTGACTTGTTATATCGTTGGTTGTGGATTGGATCAGTGTTGGTTGTGTTCGTATAGAAGATATTGGTTGAGACACCATTGTTTACTATATATAAATTCTTGTCGTCGACTTCGTCTTCCGCGACTATTGGATCTGCGTCTATTGAGAGTTGTGATACTGGTGCTCTGTCCACCCCGAAGCCCTCGCATCTTTCACACACTGAGAAGCTGATTACGAGGAGTGTGAACGTGTTTATATTTGGGTTTACTTTCATAGTAGATTCACCTGTGAGCACGCCCTCAGCATTTCACCGGCTTCGACAGTGTGATAGCAGCGTGGACGCGAGTGGAGGATGCATCACGATACGCCGCTAGCGATGCTGGTCTCGCCACCGAGCACCGTCCTGCTGCGGTGACGAGCTGGATTCGGGGGAAGCGGATCAAGATCCCTTGCCTGCTGGATATCGATGTGCATGCGACGCAGTGGGAGCAATGGTGGGCCTCATTACAGCCAGAATGGCGTGTCAAGGACACAGTGGCCAGTGGAGGGTGGTCTCGCCTGAAGTACGGAGGAAATGGACGTGAGTGGGGCCCGCTCTATAGATGGGGTCCCAATGGGGCACAGAGTCTGCTGGCGGCATTGTATATCTGGGGCGTGCAGCTGCATGAGAGTGGAACGGCATCGCAGCAAGCTCCATGGAATGAGGCTGTGGAGGATGTGGGATGGATGCTCGAAGGCCTGGCGTCGTACTATGAGCTGTGGAAGAGGAAAGGTGCCTGTTAGGGACAGTACATACGCATGGACAATAGTGGTTATATGAAACCATGAAAAAGGCGGATAGATGTGTACCCAAAAGCGCAAGCGCACGTGGGCAGAGGGGCCAAGCACGTGAGAACCCGACACGACGGGATGTTTTTGATGCGCCGGATTTGATGTGAAGCGCACATGGAAAGGGAGCGGGCTGAACGCATGAAAAGGCGCAATAAGCTGACGCGCCGATGGGTATCTGAAGTGCATCCCGACACGACGGGATGATTTGATTTTCTGATGGCCCAGGTAGTGCCGACAACAGGTGGGATGATCAGGCGCTATGTAGATAGGTAGATCAATAGCAAGTTGACCATCCTGCCGTCTGGATCCTGCCCATCACCCCGCAATCACTTATCATTCATCACTATCATCATCAGCTACACCGCCAAACCGTGCCGCCGCTTGGTTCACACGTATTGCCGTAGGGGTGTACATAGCCACAGTGCATGGCAACTACCATACGTTAGGATGGGATTCCTATGGTAAGAGCCATGGGTTTTTATCCTAAATCCTAGTGCTATGGCTCATTCTGCAAGGGATGTCCTCAATCACAAATACGAACCACAGTGTGAGCGTACAAATATGGAACAGATCAACCCCGCAGATGACCCCGCCAGATGATGGGATCATGCCCATCACTGCTGCAGTGCGGCGGGCGCAGCGGTCCAGGTTTTGCATTCAGTGCTTCGCTTTTTCGATATTTGAGGCACAGGACAGACTGGAATAGCATCCCGGTTTTTCTGGCAGCTATTTTTCTTTTTTTTTTTTTGCGCTCGGTCACGTGACCAAACTGCCCGCTGCCCCCGCGCATTGTGCACCGTGGAGAGCCCTGAAAATCGCACCGAATGGCGGCAAAAAAGATGGGAGGAGGTCACGTGAATGTGCGCCTACCGCCCGCCGTGGCATGCGGGGGGGTCGGTAATGACCCCGCCAGCACCCTGCCAGCCCCCGCCAACATTTTTAAAAATTATCACTTCAGCTGTCACGTGCTTTTTTTATCCCGCCCGCCCATGCAGCGCGTCATGTGATTGGATTTTTTTTTCCCGCCCAGCTACCCGCTCTTATGGACAAGTCACATGCTACATACACCCCCCCTCCTCCTGACCCCCGCATATGCCCCTGCTACTAAATCGACTAAATGGCCCCCCCACCCCCCGCCAGGGGGTACCTACTGGGTACCCTCAGCAAGACGTCTGAGGGTACCCAGTAGGTACCCCGCGGGGGGAGAACCGCGTGATGGCGGTGGTAACTGAGGTGCTGTATTCTGCGGGCCAAATCCTGTGGAATCCGATCAGGCCCTTGGGAAGCATTATATGTAATACATACACGCATTTTTGACAAGATTTATGTAAACGGCAATCCGGCGGTCGACTAGCAAATGCAAGCACTACGCTTCGAGGTGCTGACACTCAGCGCCTGGTGTCTCAAGAACGCCTCCGTTCCGCAAAATGCCACTTGGCGGGGCTCTCGTGCCGTGGGCAGTGCCATTGTTCTAACCCCTATGGGGTTTATTGAGCGCAGGCGCGTTGCGTGTCCTGTAAAAGCCCAATTGCAACACCAGGTCGTGTTCCTGTCATCCTCGCCGTCTCGCGCGGGCTCCTCTTTTTGACAACGCTATTTGTTCGGCTCTTGGTTCAGACATCCAGCCTCAAGGCATTCAGGTCCAATGGTTTGCCTC